GATGACATATCGGTGTGAGCTACTGTGTGAGCTTGATTATAAAAATAGATGACATATTGGTGTACAACAGCAGCACAAAAATATTTTTTTTTTTAATGTGTTTAGGGGGGGAACCTCCGCACGTTTTTCTTTGAATTTTGTACTCAAGTTAACTTTATGCTCTCACATTTTCATCTAAACCTTTAACTTTGTTTCCAGATTGCGTTAGAGAAGTACCTTGTGCTTATGTCCTAGGGCCGTGGAGTACAGGCCCCAACAACAGATGAAGTATATTCATTTGTCAATTTAAAGCACCATCTGATATTAAAATTTGAATATAATCAGCAGTCAATAGTTGAATTTTGTAATGTGATGAGTGGCAAATTTAATGACCAGAAAAATAAACAGACCTCACTTTTCATATTAGTTGGTACTTTAAATGAACAAATGAATTTATTATCAAGCAACTCTCTGAATTGTGTACAAAAGTTAACTCTGCCTACTAAACTACCTAGATACAATCACTCTAAATTGTAGGAATAGAAATCCCAGAAGGACAAGGAAGTGTTATCAAGAGAGTTCCTGACCTCTCTTGGTTTTATGAGGCAAAATCTGGAAACAGAATAAAAGGTTTAGATGGTATTGTGACAGCATAAAGTGCAATCTGATATCAAAACAAAACTTGAAAAGTAAAACTGTGATTTGAATTAATGCAGTGACAACCATTCAATAACTGGTTGGTAGAAAAATTAAAATCCCCCTGGCAAGGAGGACCACAAAGACCAGGAAGACACAAATAGTGTTAAATAAAAACAGTATACTACTCTGTGTGAGCTTGATAAAAAAAATTACGTACCTAGGTTACTCTATGCTTTAAAAGGATATGTGTAATCCTGCACGACATTTGACTTGGAGTGCATACTCTACCCTCATCAGCACGTCTAGGTCAAAGCAAAAAACCTTCCAGCAGTCTTTACGCAATGACGAAGACAATGTCAGTGTGACATCTTCCCAATACTACAAATTCTATTTCAAAACTTTTAAATGCTGAAAGACTTCAACAATTCCCATAGATAGGGTAATTGCCAGTCCCAATCATTCAAGTAAACAGATGCTTACAGGGTACTTGAGTAATTCCACATGATACATACAACAGAATACTTAGTCCCCACCCCAATAGATGCCCAAACCATCACAGTTAAGAACCTTACACACCAACACACATATACTTGGTGAGTATTAGATTACATTTTTAGCGTGCTCTTTGCTGTAAGAGGGTATGTGAAGGACCAAATGACATTCAATGACATGAAGTGCGAACGCAACTCAAATCAACATGCCAAGGCCACACTTCAAACCTTTCCAGCATTGGAACCATTTTACTAGGGAAGATATATGGATAAAACATCAACCCATCTAAAAACAAAAATTCTACTGGCAACAAAATAGGATGAAGAATGACACAAAAAAGCCATGAAGGTTACATGTGCATCTCAATCATAAACACATCACAAACTCTGCTGATGCTAATTTTTATATAATCAGAAGCCAGAACTGAATAGCTCAAACTCAATTTCTGAACTTTAAGTCATAAACAATAAAACAGATCTAACATTCGATATCAAATGGCACTTTCAGTTAACAACTATATGCATAGTGGATAAAGAAACTCACCGCATTTTGTACTCACAGTGAGAGTTTAATTACCTTTTCAATTTTGTTTGATTTCTAGTTAAAGTCAAGCGCTGAATCCCAGCCATTTTTCTTAGACAGAAGATTAACTAAATCACTTGAACCACAACATTTCCCAGTGGTAGAGGAGGTGTCGCAGAGTCTGAAACCGTCAAACAACATTGATAACATTTAACTTATAGTCATCACTATGTCATAATTGCCAACATTTATTGAAGCTGAAAACAGTGTTGACACCACAAACAACAATGCACAATTAGCGTTAGATTTTTGAACTAATGCACTGAATAATCTGTGCTTTCAAAGGATTTGCAGTGGCATAAGATTATGACATTCCACAAATTAGATTTGAGTGCGCGAACGCATCCTCAAACCAGCATGTTAAGTCCAGAGCAACAATCCAGTCAGCACTTATAACATATATATATAGCGTTAAACAGAAATTTCTGTAGCTACCAAAATGATTGAAGACAAGCGCAAAGACCATGAAGGGTAGTTGCACATCTCAATCATTTTCATCATTTATTTTTCATTATTGATATAAAATGGGACTTGACATTCAAAAACTAATAGACAATTGTTGAGAAACTTCGGAAGTCTGTACTCACATCACGACTAGGTGGCAGGGCATCTCACTTGATCTGAAAACATCAAAACAACTATGTACTTTACAATAAACTATTAAATTTTATTAAAAGAAATCTTTAACATTTGTTTAAGTTGAAAATGATGCCAGGTAGAATTTACCTTACTTACAATGACAGTACCCAAGCTAGAATAAAAAATATTATTGACAGAGTTGAGCACCAGTAACATACATTTAGCAAAAGTCAATTAAAACAACACACTGAATAATTTGTGCTTTCAAAGGATTTGCAATGGCATATGATTATGACATTCGACGAATTAGGTTCGAGTGCGCGAACGCATCCTCAATCCAGCATGTCAAGTCCACAGCTGAAATCCAATTAGCACTTACAACATGTAGAAAGTGAAGAAAAATCACACAGATCATATCACACGTTATTAAGGAAACTCTAGTTAAGAAAATGATTGAAGATGAGTGCAAAAAACCATGAAGGGTAGTTGTATCATATCTATCATTCAATTTTCATAATTGATATCAGATAGGACTCTAAGTTAAAAGCCGCTTACACTATAATTGAGCAACTGAATAAGTTTGTAGTCCCATCACTAGATAGCTGGGCATCTCACTGGGTCTGGACATTGGTCTGCAAACATATAAAAAATTAGTAACTATTTTTTTAAATTCTAAACAATCATTATTTTATCACAGCATTCTTCAACATTTACTTTGTTGTAAATTAAACTTGATACGATTTACCCAACTTACTGTGACAATGCCCTGGGTAGGGGGTGATAACTGAACACTTGCTAGATAGGGAGAAAATATAAATATGCACAATCACATTTGTGTACAGATCCAATAAAGTCCTGAAATCTTAGGACCTCTTTGGTCATATTTAACGACATGACTTACACCGATAAGACAAAGGTCAGCACACCTTTTTAATATGAGTAAATGTAATTATACAAAACTGTTGCAAGTCTTGCATGTGAATCCAGATCTGTTTTCTTCTTGGTGGAATTTTTTTTCCTCATCTTGACTCCTTACAGGAAAAAAATCCACTCCTGGAAAACAGAAAGTTGAAGATAAGAAAGTGTATGTTGCAATCTAGACTTGGAAAGCTGGACAGCATTTCTTGTCTGTCACATTCTCATTTCAAAGTCATTCATAACAAACAGAACATTTCCACACCTCCCTTTCCTATATGGCACTGGGTACAACAGGCCAGTACAAGATCATAATTTTAAAATTTGTTCAAACTCTCTCCAAAACCAAAATTTGAATTAACCTTATAATCTACCATTTAAAGCTGAAATGAGTTCAATAAGATCACTAATCATATGATTTATACCCGGCCCTGCAAATATATTGTTATACATTTGTGAAGAGTTTACATATTGTGGCTCCAACTATTTTGTTCTTGTAATGAACCTCAGGTGGACAAAGCGAGTGTAGCAAACAGGGGATTCATGCAATGATCCCTATTTCTCGGCAAGAGCTTGCTTCCCTGTTATAAAACAGGTAAGATAATTAGATAGATAAAAAGGAAGGGTTTAGATAGCATCCTGCAACCCAATAAAATTTGGAACAAAATATGAACCCACGTCAAACAATATTACAACTGAGCTAGGTATTCATTTCTAGGAAAGGATAGAAAGGCATACAAGACGGACTAAGAACTGATTAGCTTACCATTGATTGT